TGAGGTCTAACCAGTGCCGTTAATGCATCCCAGAATCATGTTTGCTGCTTTATTTATGTATTTATTTATTTATTTGCAACAGTGTCACACAGTTGACTCATATTGGGCTTGTGGTCCACTACGACCCCTAGATCCCTTTCTGCAGTACTCCTTCCTAGACAGCCACTTTCCATTTGGTATGTGTGAAACAGATTCTTCCATCATAGGTGGAGTAATTTGCATTTGTCCTTATTAAACTTCATCCTGTTTACCTCTATGTATTTATTTATTTATTTGCAACAGTGTCACACAGTTGACTCATATTGGGCTTGTGGTCCACTACGACCCCTAGATCCCTTTCTGCAGTACTCCTTCCTAGACAGCCACTTTCCATTTGGTATGTGTGAAACAGATTCTTCCATCATAGGTGGAGTAATTTGCATTTGTCCTTATTAAACTTCATCCTGTTTACCTCAGACCATTTTTCCGGTGTGTCCAGATCATTTTGAATTATGGTCCTATCCTCCAAAGCACATACAACCCCTCCCAGCTTGGTATCATCTGCAAACATAATAAGCATACTCCGTATGCCATCATCTGAATTGTTGATGAAGATATTGACCAGAACCATTCCCAAAATGGACCCCTGCAGAACCCCACGTGTTATGCCCTTCCAGCATGAATGTGAATTGTTAATAACTACTTTCTGAGAATGGTTGTCTAGTCAGCTATGCACCCACCTTATAGTAGACCTATCTACGTTGTATTTGCCTAGTTTATTGATAAAAAGGTCATGCAAGACTATGTCAAATTCCTTACTAAAGTCTAGGTATACCACGTCTACCACTTCTCCCTTATCCACGAGACTTGTTACCCTATCAAGGAAAGCTGTCAGATTGGTTTGACATGATTTGTTTTTTACAAATCCACTCTGGCTGTTACCTATTACTTTAATATATATGTAAACACAAAGACAACAAACATTATATACCAGTATATCCCTAAATGCTGAATTTGTGTTATTTATGATGAAGAATGCTTACACCTTTCTGCCTGTGTGTCACAGATACCCTCTTCAGCAAAGAAACATCTCTAGCTTCATGAGTTCCCTTGATATTTCAAGATAAAAATGATGCTATCCCCTGTTGTCAATGACGATCAAGAAGAAACCCAAATATAATTCTTACTACTTACCACTAGCAAATTCAGGCTATGTCTAGACTGCAGAGTTATATCAGAAAAAGATACGCAAATTGCAAACTGCAATTTGTATATCTTTTTCCGCTTTTTTTGTTTGTTTGTTTTGGAAGAGGCTTTTCCGAAATTTGGCCTGTCTACACAGGGCCAAATTTTGGAAAACCTCCTCTTTTGGAACATCGTTTATTCCTCATACAATGAGGAACAC